GTATGTAATGAGTATCTACCCTGTGAATTATGCAATATCCTTGGTGCCTTCCTTGGTATTCATTTGAACCTCACAATAGCTCTGGAGAGTTGGTGTGAATAACCGATGGTACCTGAATGAGCGATTTTTAGATGGGTTTTTCCATTTTCCAAGTAAGTCAGCATAGGTTTCAATGTGCTCCCTGGTTTTCTGGACTAAAAAACGACAACGTTCAATTAATAATTCATTTTTATAAACGTAAGCAATACCTTTAGGGACAGCCTTTAGTAATTTAGTAATTGAACCTCTTGTTCAACAGTGGTTAAATAGCAAGATAGAATATTCTGCTTGTGTTGTTATGTCCAACTCTTTTGTGACCCCATGGACTGCAGCCCACCAGACTCCTCTGTCCATGGGACTTCCCAGGCAAGAATACCGGAGTGGGTTCCCATTTCCTCCTCTAGGGGATCTTCCCCACCAGGGGTCGAACCCACATGTCCTGTGTCTCCCGCGTTGGTAGGTAGATTCTTTATCACTGAGCTACCTGGGAAGCCCAAGGATATTCTGATCAAATAGCCAAATACCATTTTGATTAAAAAGTACTTTTAAAAATTTGTGTAAAGTCAGTGTTTGAAGTATTGAAGAAGCCAGTATTGAAGAAAAAGTTCTAGTTCTCTTTAGATCACTGAGTTTTAGGACCATCTCAAATCACGACTATAAAGAAACTAGAAATTAAATGGAATGTGAAAATAAACTAGCATCACCATGTTAATCCAATATGGAAACGACCAGCTCCTTTGTACAAGGTGTATACTGGGTTTTTAACCCTCATAACAACAGTGGAGGAAATGAGGAGGTCAGTAGGAACTTTGTGGGGTTGAAATGTTCTCCATCTGCCTGAAGCTGGATAGGATGCTTTTCACTTCCTTTTAACAGTTTCTATTGCCCAAGAATCCACAGCTAGTTAGGGACGAAACTGGGATTAGAAGTTTCTGAAAGAATAATTTCTATTTCACTGTTTCCACTTCCTCCCTTCCTTCTCATTCCCTGGTGAACTCACTGCCATCTTGCCTTTGCAAGATCATCTTTGGTGAAACCACCCTCTTCAGAGTCACTTAGTTGCTAAGTCCAAGGAAGACTTTTTTTTTAACCTTATCTTCCTTAAGTATTAACTCACTGGAAACACACTCTTTCCTTTCTTGAAATGCTCTCTTCTCAGCTTTCTGTAACAGCCACATCCACTGCTTTTCTTTCTACTTTTCTGTGTCTCCACACTCTTGACTCAATCCTGGGATTACTCATTTTAAAAATCCTTGCCAAATTGATAAATGAAAAATCATCCAGTGTTTGTAACTTGCTGTGTCTGTTTACATATCTGCTACACAAAGATCAGATATACACTGATAACAGTATTGTTGCTATTTGTCGGTTGGACATCTTAATTTGACATTGAGGTTTTTCATCTCTTTCAGAGCTGGGACTGTATGATTTTGAACTCTTTCACCTCCCTCCTTTCTTCCATTTCCTTATGAATGAGCATGTATTGGTTTGGCCAAACAGTTCACTCAGGTTTTTCTGTAGCCTCTTGTTTAATTTAATTGAGTGAGACTGAACACTTAATTCCCATTAGACTTTTTTAAGTATGATATGTGGCCTAGATTTTTCTGACGAGGAGCACAGAACGTTGTATGGAATGACAGTAAACCTGTTTTTAATCCCAGTTTCATTCCTAACTAGCTGTGCATTCTTGGGCAAGCCACTTAATCTCTCTGGACCTTCGATTTCTTATATATAAAGTGAGTGGGATGGTATCAGGTAATGACCTAGGTATCTACTAGCTTTCACATCACATAGGTACAATTTTCTTCCCAGAACTAGTTTCGTTCCTAACTAGCTGTGCATTCTTGGGCAAGCCACTTAACCTCTCTAGACCTTCGATTTCTTATATATAAAGTGAGTGGGATGGTATCAGGTAATGACCTAGGTATCTACTAGCTTTCACATCACATAGGTACAATTTTCTTCCCAGAACTTCCTTCAGAGGGAAACTCAGAATTTTCTCTCCTAATTCTGACAGAATAGTGTCTCCTCCAACATAGTATCACCTCTTTGAGGCAGAACCTGCTTCCTTCCAGAACTGTAATTCGTTTGTGTGGAGCCACAAGCCCTAGGACAATAGCAGTAGCTCCGTAGCTCAGACGACAAAGAATCTGCCTGCAGTGCAGGAGACCTGGGTTTGATCCCTGGGTTGGAAAGATCCTCTGGAGAAGGGAATGGCAATCCACTCCAGTATTCTTGCCTGGAGAATCCCATGGACAGAGGAGCCTGGCAGGCCGCAGTCCATGGGGGTCGCAAAGAGTCGGACACAACTGAGTGACTAACACACTGTCCAAAAAGACACAGCCAAGATTTAAAGTAGGTCTTATTTGTATGTATACTGATAAAACACTTTGAAAATCTGTTGAAAGTTAGGGACCACAGGAAAACACACATAAGCATATAGTACACAATTTTAGGGGGCTCCTAGACCTTCTGAAGTCCATCCATGTACTCCGTAAGAATCCATGAACCCTAAGCTAAGAATATTTGATTTGGGAACATTAAAGGGATCCCTGGAGATTAAAGAAATTATAAAAAATGCTTACTTCCCATTGGAAAAGGGGGCTGTAAAATGAAAAAATACATGCAGAATATTATTGAAACTCTTTTCAAAACTAAACTATTATGTTTACTTGTAAATACCTTCTTCATAAATCAGGTCATGTGCTAACCTGCTTAAATCTCCCACAGCAGAATGCAAATTCCTTTCTGTGCATTATAAAGGCCTATGTGGTCTGGGTCCTAGTTTTGTACTTTTGAGATCCACTGGCCTTGCTTTTGCTCTGGCAACATTACTGGCTCTGTACAAGTCACACTGCTTTTGCTGAACAGTCTCAGAGTGACCTGCTGCGTCTCCTCAGACCATGTCCCTGGTGGCTATCCTTCAGGCTTCAGTTCAAGTGTCCCCTCCTCCTAAATGCCTCTCCCAACCACCTTAACTCCTCTTCAACATGCGCTATCACAACACCCAATTTCTCCTGTAGAACTGATCTTGTTACAGCTCTGGCTGTAATTGTCTTCTTTTCCCACTAGAATGTTAGTTCCTTGCGAGATGGGACCTTGCCTCTCTTATTTATCCCCAGAGCTAGGGACAGATTAAAACCTTCAGGGGGTCTAAGCACTAAAGATTATGGTGCTCCTCTTCCATCTTTAATTCTAGCTAAAATATTTGGTGCACCTCCCTCATATTAAACTCTAACTAGAACCAGTACTAAACTGTACATTTACATGTACTGTAACAAAGACAGCTTCTTCCCAAATGATCTGATTCTAAGACCTCAGAGCCTCTGCCTTGCTGGTGTCCTAAGTACATGAGACCTTTGCCTGCCTTTGGGAAATCTAGCACTTACTCAATCCTTTAAAGATACTGGACGCAGTTTTTATGTTAAGTTGGCTATGCCTACCAAAAAAACCTTGCTGGGATTCTGATAGAAACTGTGTGAAATCTATAAGTCAATTTTGGAAGAACTGACATATTTACTCTATTGGGTCTTCCAAGCCATGAATATAGCAAGTCACTCCAATTATTTAGGTCTTCTTTAATGTCTTTCATCAATATTTTATAATTTTCAGCATGGCTATCCTTCAGGCTTCAGTTCAAGTGTCCCCTCCTCCTAAATGCCTCTCCCAACCACCTTAACTCCTCTTCAACATGCGCTATCACAACACCCAATTTCTCCTGTAGAACTGATCTTGTTACAGCTCTGGCTGTTAATTGTCTTCTTTTCCCACTAGAATGTTAGTTCCTTGCGAGATGGGACCTTGCCTCTCTTATTTATCCCCAGAGCTAGGGACAGATTAAAACCTTCAGGGGGTCTAAGCACTAAAGATTATGGTGCTCCTCTTCCATCTTTAATTCTAGCTAAAATATTTGGTGCACCTCCCTCATATTAAACTCTAACTAGAACCAGTACTAAACTGTACATTTACATGTACTGTAACAAAGACAGCTTCTTCCCAAATGATCTGATTCTAAGACCTCAGAGCCTCTGCCTTGCTGGTGTCCTAAGTACATGAGACCTTTGCCTGCCTTTGGGAAATCTAGCACTCACTCAATCCTTTAAAGATACTGGACGCAGTTTTTACGTTAAGTTGGCTATGCCTACCAAAAAAACCTTGCTGGGATTCTGATAGAAACTGTGTGAAATCTATAAGTCAATTTTGGAAGAACTGACATATTTACTCTATTGGGTCTTCCAAGCCATGAATATAGCAAGTCACTCCAATTATTTAGGTCTTCTTTAATGTCTTTCATCAATATTTTATAATTTTCAGCACACAGACCCTGCACATGGTTTGTCAGATTTAAACCTAAGTAGTTCACATTCTTTGGAGCAATTGTAAATGGTACTATTTAAAATATGTTTGTCGTTGGCATGCATAGAAGCTCTCTTAGTAGAACAAGAAGGCAAATAGCCTTTAGTGAAGTAAACTTGTTCAGTGCTTATTTGCTGGATTAGTAACAAGCTATGTATTGAACCATTCATGTACCTCTTTAATGTGCTTCTACATTTCAAATTTGGCCTAATTCTTAATTGCTACACCCCAATCCCTACTATTATTAGAGGGGTCTACTCATCCCTCATCTGAATACCCTTTATGCAATCCATCTCCATGTCTGCTCTGCCATTTCCTATCTATAATAGTCCCTCTGCTGAACCCTCTTACACCAAACTAAATCTTAACTATCCTTCAAGCATGAAGTCAAAGATCTTCAGAAGATGCTTTCCCTGACAATGCAGCCAACATCACTCCTTTTCTCTTCTGGACTCTACCTTTTTTTTTTTTTTTACTTAAAAATTCTTTAAAATTTATTTTGAGGATAATATCTTTACAATATTGTGGTAGTTTTTTTGCCATACAATGACATGAAGAGTTCGCTGGACTCTTTAAACCAGTATTGTATGCCACTCAATCATTAATTCGGTTTTTAATTGGTTTTAATTTGTGTTGTTTCCCTAATTAGATGATATACAGTGGGAGACTCCCATAATAGCACACATATGGAAGGTGCTCCAATTTAATTGTGTCAATGAAGAAAGAGGAGAGAGAGAGGTTTCAAGTTGTGTCAGAATAAGGTGACTGGAGCTGCAGCATGTAAAGAGGTCTTTCATCCAGGCAGGATCCATCTTTTCATCCAATAGATCCAGGATCTAGTCTAGGACAAGGATTCTCTCTCTTTTCCTTCCTTCTTCCGAATCTCAACTCCTCCAACTAAGCAGACTGGAGATGCAGATCCTCTCCAACTCTCTCTTCGGTAACTGTTCTGAAGACAGCAGGTCTATAGGCAGTCCGTTTTTAGAGGTTACCTGTTGGAGCGTAGATAGTAATCCCTTTGGAGCTGCAGTAACATCCCCCGGCCACCAGAGGACAGCGTGCCGCGGAAGAGACCGTCTCGCCCCTGCAGAAGGCTTAACGAGGTCAAAGGCAGAGGCAGAAAGTCGGCTCTGCATCTATGGCCTTCAGCTTCTTTAACTGCCTCAAAGGCTCCCTCGCGCTCCCCTCTTCAGATGGACTCCTTTTCCTCCTAAAAAAGATGGGCCGGAAGTTCCTAGAGGCTTACTCTAATACTGACCTTAAATGATTATAGTAACGAATGGGCTTTAGCTGCAGGATTTAAAGGCAAAAAAGTATAGACAAGTTTCACTTTTCTAACCCCCCCCTCCTCCCCCCCCCGCCAAACATGCTTCTGTTATTTTGGCAATCNAAGAAAAAAAAAACCACCCACAGAAAACAAGACGACAAAAAACCTCAGGCAATGTCCAAACGGACATTTCCCAACAAAGATGTCTTCGGGGAACCAACGTCCCAAATCTAATACATTGCAAATGGAATATTTTATTCCTACACACAAATTCTGGCTCATGGAGCAGTCCACTCGGAGTGTGCTTTTCCGTCATTAATCACATCTCTGTTATGTGATATCCACGTGAGTACTTCTCAGTAGAAGCAGCTTCATGCTCAAATGCTCAAAGAACACTAGAATAAAGCTCCGATTGTCCTACTCACTGATTCCAAGTCCTGGTGTGTCACCAGCTCAGGTCTCTATTTCCCAAAGTGTGTAATGCCGTTTCAAAACAAAGCTATTTCAATCCAAATTTTAAAATGCACGAAGTGTGTGAAGGAAACTCAACGGGGGTCTAGCACCTCCCAAAAGGTGGTGAACCTCTGGTCTAATTTACAGACGATTCTGTGCTGCCCAAGCACCGGGCACACCGCTTGAAAAGGACACACTTTTCAAGAGCATGTTAGGCTTCGTGCTCGTTACATTTACAAATGTAAATAGAAATAAGTAAATAGAAGCACAATAAAATCATAAATGTTAGGAACATTCAGGTGGGGGCTTTCTCTGACAAACAGGGAGAGCTGACTGCCTGAGCCACCTGAGCGTGATTTTTCTTAAATTACCTGTAACTTCTCTCTCCTAAGAGCCGGCAGTGCCCTGCATTTTGGATTCCTCACTTTTAAAAGAGCGATTGTAATTCTCTCAAATCATTGTTTGCGTTTCTTCACCCTGGGGAGGCAGCTGGAAACCGCCCAAAGAGGAGGAAAAGGCTCTGCGCCTCGCTGGGGCGGGGAGAGGGGAGAAACCCTGAAATACCTGTTGGGGCGCAGCCCTACGCGGCCGAGACCCGGCCCGAGGGTCGGGGATCGGGGGCCCCGGGGGCAGCCGGCGCGCGGGCGCGGAAGGAGGAGGCCGCGGGGCCGCCTCCCCCGGCCACCCGGCTCCTCCCAGCGGCGCCCGCGGAACCTGCCCCGGAGTCGCCGGGCCCCGGAACGGAACGTGACCCGACCCCTCCCCGAGCGGCCGCGACCAGGCGCCGAGCCGCGCTCCGCGTTCGGGCGGGCGCACGGCCCCGCCCGTCGCCCACCGCCCTGCCCTGCCTGTCTCCTCCTTTCCCCGGGGCTCCGCTGAGTTCATTCACTGGGATTGGTTTCAAGTGACGCCATCTCTTTATTTTTAAACCAATGACCTCATCCGCGCTTGAAGTTTCCTGACCAGCGACTCTTTCTCTTTCCCCCCAACCCCCCAC